CTGTCAGAAATGAACACGACTTTAGTTTATCGTACAAAGGGTGTTCCAACAGTAACAGTCATTTTTTTGTCATATACACGTGTCATTTGCAATGTTTTAATATCATGTAGTCCGTTTTCTAATTATCAATAATGTATTATGTAGGAATATTACCTATCTTTGGATTTTCCTAAGTTATATAAAGGAAATTTTTTTCGTTATGAATTACATCTCTTGATTAAATTTTAATAATTGACAAATACATACAATAACAAAATTCTCCCCGTGCAACGCACGGATACGAATCTAGTGTCTTTCAAAGAGCGATGAATAAAATCGCTAAGGAAAAATGTCTTCTCACACCTAAGATTTCTTTAGACCAACAGTTAGCTAGATTGTCTAATACAATTTTCAGACAATCCCGAAGAGAGAAATATAACCAATTTAGTCAATTTTCTAGAGAACAGTGAGAGGCTAGTAGCAGACGAAGAGAAAATATGTAAAAAAGAAAAGTTTTTTAGAGAAGAAAGAATTAACAGAGTTGTTTCATGAAATACTTGAGAATTTAGGTAGTATTTATGAGAAAATATTCAAAATGACTTTTTTATAAGGTTGAAATAGCTCCTTTAATAGTTGTTGGCTTGAGAAATGGAGTAGCGCATAACAGACAAGAGTGAAGCACCTGGGATGGCGGTCATAGCCCATTTGTCACGTCGCCATCACGCCGGTGGTGTCACGATAAACACGCCGTGAACAAGCGTGAGGGTCGGGTCACGCTTAAGGGCCAAGCGCCATAACACAAGAGAGCAAAGGAGAGTAAAAACTTAAATATTTAAAAGTTAAAAAGGAAAAACAGGAAATGAAAAGAACAATATGAAGATGATTTTGATGGACAAGGCTTGTCATATGCTTCATGTTTTCATTATATTAATATGCCATTGATGTTATTTTTTTAGAGTTTTGTGTTTTCTACTCTACATATATTGTCATTGAAAGAGATTTGCAAATAATATTTTTTCGCTCAAACTCCAATTGTTTTTGGATATTAATAATTGTTAGCCTTTATGATGGGATAAATCTATTCTAACCAAATTTGTAATTTTGGAGTTAGATGTAATTGAGTTTCATTATTTGAGTAGTGGGTTATATTCTTCATTTACAACTACTCCCTCCATCCGGTATTAAACTTTCCATTTGGACTTTTTCCCATTTTTATGAAGTGTTGACTTTAGGATAAAAATGTTAGAAATGCCCCCCAACTACCGTCGACCACCCAAAAACTACCCCAGGCCCAAAACTAGCGTCGACCACCCAAAAATGCCACAGCCCCCACCACCACCTCAACCCCTAGATCTTCTAAGACCTTACAGATTTAGAATACAAACAAATAGGAGAAAAAAGGGAATAAAAACAGGAAGAAAGAAGATGAATTGATTTAGAGAAAGAAAAGAGGGATGAGAAAGAAATGGGGAAGAAGAAAAAGAAGAAGAAAGAGGAACGGATCTTGAGGGAAAAAAGGAGGACAAAAAAGAATAGAGGGGAGAAGGAGGATAAGAAGAAGAAGGACCAGATCTGGAGAAAAAAACATGGGCAAGAAAGAACTAGGGGAGAATGAGGAGGAGGAGGAGGAGGAGAAAAAGAAGAAGCAAAATGAACGGATTTTGAGGAACAAATATGCAGAGAAGAACATAAAAAGAAGAAAAAGAGAGGAGAGTGGTGAGGAACTAAAGGAGGATAGAAAAATGGGAGAGGGGAGAGATAGAGTGTATATTGGTAAGTGGAGGTATTTTGGGTAGTTAGTGTATAAAAATTGAAATGGGAAGATTATTTCCAAATGGAGGTACAAAATTAATGTTCAGTGGCCACAGCAAAACATGCACATCACTCCCAAAATTATAGACATTTACAAAATCAAGAGAAAACAAAGCCCAAAGGGGTGGTGTGTAGCTAGAGTAACAACCAATACGTTGTCACCCACACATCTAAAATGGATCCATCTTTTATCTAGAGTTACTAGGTGGACATAGTTAATAGTATATGTACTTGTGGCGAGTGGACCTGTAACACCCTAGTCCGTCCAGATATGCAACCTCTTTCGGACTAAAGTATTAACTTGGTAATCATAAATATTAAAAATATTTCAACCACTTCAAATTTTATTTATTAATATAATATTCATAACAGAAATAGTAACGGAGTTTTCAAAGTTGCAGAAACTTAGTTAATTTTACATCATAATCATTAATTCATTTTTGAAACAATTCAAAACCATCACACATCCATCTGACATCTCACGTCCTCATCTGCCGCCAGGATCAATCACATTATTCTTTATTTCGTTTACTTGCGTGTAGCAAATAAAACATACTACACGCTCATCGATGAAGCTGAGTAAGAAGATCTAATGCATCAAACATCCATATAAATTGAATCTCAATTCATAATCAAATCATTTGATATCATGTATATAATATTATTTTAAAGATTTGGTATTCAATATTGAATATTCATAGTGTCAACAATGCTCTTAAACTATTCTTAGTCTAAAGCCAAAATCGTATTGATAACAAAGCTCTTAAACTATTCTTAGTCTTAGGCAAATATTTCTAACCAAGTCTTAAACTATAATTAGCTTAAGGTACATATCTATAACCGACTCTTAAATTATAATTAGCATAAGGTACATCTTTCTAACCAACTCTTAAAGTATAATTAGTTTAAGGTACAACACAAGAATAACCGAACAACGGACTACTCACTGTCGGGTGGGTGGTATCCCCAAACGAGTTATCCTCTAGTTTGGTTTTTATATCCTGTACGTACGTTTTTACCCAGGGCACCAGACTTCATACCCGCAAGGCCCAAATAAACTAAGTCACATGGGGTCTATCTTATAGTTCTTCTAGGTAGCCTTAATATTCAATATTATTTTCATAATCATCATTTTATTAAGGATATTTGTGTTTTTAATCATGGTTCCATCACCATAATCAATAATAAGGAACAATTAGCATATTATTCAATATCAAATAGCGGCCTAGCGTCGAGTGTTAACACTCTAGCTTACCGTCATGCATCACACAAGGTTCTTGAATTTATCAAAATATCGTATTTATTCCCAGAAATCATTTTCATATTGATTATAATTTAATGATATCAAAAATAGGATTTTACATTTCAAAAATCAAGTTTCTAGAAAAATTCTGGGTTTAGATGGTACCCGTTACGGTACCTCGGTACCAATACACGATACCGTCTAAACTGTACGGGGTACCGTCTGGTGGTTGATCCCGCCAGAGGAAAAATCGGATCGCGTTGAGACAGTAGCTGGCCTAACATTCCGACGGTACCTAGGTACCGTCCGGACGGTAGGTCGATACTGTCTCTGCGTGAGTTTGAACAATGTTGTCTCCAACCTCGGGTCAATTTTCTAAAAGTTCATTTTTAATCATTAAAATTCAATTAAACTATATAGAAATATTTTACAGAGTTCATAGATCATTTTGGAATTATTATTTTGAAGTTTTAACAACAATTTCAAGGTTTATGATTCTAATTTTTCAAGCATGTCAAACATAAAACTCAACCCAACAATTATTTATGAATGGAAATGATCTATACGAACATTCTAATCACTAGATATATATAAGGGCTTACCTCGTGCTTAAACGGAGGTTTTGGAAATTTTCTGGCGAAACTTTCAGCGGTGATTACTCCCAACTCCGGCGACCTCATGACCTCTGGACAACACCACTGCATCCCTCATATTCTAAAGAAAAGAATAGAAGGAAGAATAGAGAGAATTCGTGAGGGTTTGAGAAGGGAAGATGCTCCTTATATAGCAGAGGTCTGGGAAATTAAAGAAGCCAAACTCACTTTGTTTCCTTCCCCTGTGCGTTCGGCTGAGTGGAGTGAGCGGCTTGACTTTGTGGATTTTACACATCATTTCTGATTGAGACTAATTTGGTCTCAATCAGAGTACACTTTTTGGTCCAAGTTTCTCTGAATTAAAATGCAATTGTACGTTTGCAATCACTCAGTCAAACTCTACACAAAGATATAACTTTCATTATTTATTGACAAACTTTATAAATCATTTATTCTTTTTTATCCTTCTCAATAATTAATTAATTAATTCTGATATGTCTATTTTCGGGGTGTTACAAGATTTCTGATGCTATACCTTGTATTCATGTTCATGCTGTGTTCCACTCTTTCCAACAACAAGTTCATCACAACATATTACCGGCTAGGTACTCAGTTAAAAGCTAGTTGTTACAGTTGTACAATTCAATCTATTATTTTTTCCCTCAAAATTTAGATGTTGGGTGCTTTAAAATTGTACCACCAAAAAGACCAGTGAAAGAGATCCTCTGTTCTAGAAGATGTCAACGCAATTGGTACCCGGACGGGATGGATTTTTGGGCAAGGAGATGATTGCAATTTAATAATGTTTCATTTATGATAAACGATGTATTTTTATTCCATTTTTCGAGTTATTAGTTATGTATTATTCGATTTCTTTATCAAATAAATCTATATTTCTCACATGTCAGTATTTTTTATATTACAAATATTTAGTACAAATTATAAAATTTTACAACTAATAATATTATTCAAAATCTTTAATGATAAAATACAAAAAATTAAACTAAAAAAAATAAAGCCCATTCGCCACTGGTGGGGTGGGTGGAGGGGGTAGGATTCAAAATTAAATAAAATAAAATTTAAAAAAATACTTCTTCCGTCCTAAAATATTTTTCTCAATAATTATTCACACGATCAAACTTTAACTACTTTCTTTTATTTATTTTCGTTAGTTATTTGATAAAATAATATAGTATTATTACCGCTTGTTTAATAGAGTTTTTGATGTAATTTTTAATTTTTTAAATTTTATTTTATAGTTTAATACCTACAATTAAATAAATTAAATTAAAAATAAAATGAGTGAAACCTCAGAAAATTTAATTTAATTTTTTTAGAATTGATTATACAAAAGCCTATTTTCTTGAGAAATGCCTGCCAAAAATCTTCCCACTGCAATAATTCTTTCCCCTTGGCGCCTAGCATCCTTCTTCCCTTACCTCTCAGTCCGCTCCTCCCTAAACCGCCTCAATCTTCGCGTCCCGAGCACAGTCGCCCTCCGCCACAGCGGGCGTCGCTCTCAGTCGCGCAGCCACAGCCAGCCTCCAACTCCGCGTCGCATCCAGAGCACGTCCGCAGCACCCCGAGTCCAACTCCACCTTGCCGGGTAAATTTCTTCAACATTTACTTTCCATTTCCAAACAATTGGAATCTGCTAAGTGTTCTTTCCGTGAAATCTTCTAAGTGTGATTTACTTTCCGCGATTAATTTTCTGCCAAATCTGCTAAGCACTCTCCAATTCTTCTGCTTGATTTACTTTCTTATAATTTTCTTTATTGGTTCCTTAAATTGTAATATGAGTTGAAGAAATTTCATTATTAATTTCATTCCTGAGTCTGTTTGTATTTGAAACACCCTAAGTTGCCGTGGTTTCATTTTTGGCTAAAGAAAAATGTTATCCAGCCAAACAGTTGTAATGAAACTAATAATGGAATTTCTGCAACTTTTTACCCCCTAATTTATCCACAACACTCTACATTGAAGAATGTGTAATTGGGATTGTGTAAAGCAATGAAAGTCATCCAGGGAAAGATAAAATCGCCTTGCAATTTTGATGATGTTGTAATTATTGGATTGGTATTAGCCATTTTGCAAGTATTGACACACTTGTACGAATGTGTTCACCCCTCTCTGATGCATTCGATTACTGCTACGTATGGTGTCACCATATATTGTTATAAAGTTTATGGTAAGATGTCATCATATATGGGATGCTGGTTGCTCTCTATATCTAAGGTATGCATTATAAAAGACAACAACAAACAACAAAGCACAATGGGGGCAGGGGTTGGGCGGGGTGAAGGAACATATGGAAATAACAGGCAGCATTCAAAACATTGCTGCTGTCATGTATCATTATCAGAACTTAGAGAGCAGAAAGTCATAATAGGGGTGTTTCAACGTTTCACTAAAAACAACAAATGGAATTTTGAGTTTCAACTTATTTTGGAGAGTTCAATTCTTTTTTTTACTGCTATAAAAGCATAGCTTATAGCATCAGTGAAAACCTCATGCGCCATTCACTACCTTTGCCATTCTTCGAACCAAGCTTCCCATTAATTCACAATAATGGTTTTGCTGGCTCAGTCGTCAGTCGTCACATTCACCAATCTAGCGAGCTTCCATTCGATCATCTACTCCTCACCATTAATTCTTTCCATCTCGATCCCTTCATTCAATTCCTTTGATTACCCCCCCATTCTTCCAACTAATGGTTTCAACATTTCGCTTAAAACAACAAATGGAATTTTGAGTTTCAACTCACTTTGGAGCTTTGGAGAGTTCAATTCGTCCTTTTTTTACTGCTATAAAAGCATACCTTATATCATCAGTGAACACCTCCTGCACCGTTCACTACCTTCGCAATTCTTCAAACCAACCTTCCCATTAATTCACAATAATGGTTTTGCTGGCTCAGTCATCACATTCACCAATCTAGCTAGCTTCCATTCGGTCTACTCCTTACCATTAATCCTTTCTATCTCGATCCCTTCATTCAATTCCTTTGATTACCCCCCCCCCCCCTGTATTCTTCTTCACTTACTGCGAGTACAAATGGTGTGGGGCGGACCAGCCATTGTATTACTTCAGAGATGATGTTTAGGGTGTATTAGGAGGAGAGCTTTACTCCCAATTTGTTAATGGCCATAGATCTCCTTCTTATGATCACCTTCACCTGCACTCTAGCTTGTCCGGCCGCCCAGCTAGCTTGTTTCTATGACGGCGGACATGCGGCAGAAAAAAAGATGCTGGAAAAAAAGCTGTAAAAAGGGTGGTGAACTACGACAAGCAGGGCTGTAGTTTCGGCGGCGGCCACTCTATGGGAGAGTGGGAGCCTGGGGAGGACAGTCCGACCCAGGAAGAGGATGCACTGGGGGAGGCAGGCAGGAGCGGCAGGTGGCGTTGCAAGAGCAGAAAAGTGGAGTTGCACTCCGAATTCTATTGGCTGTGTTTTACCTACTTTCCTTCCTCGCTCTCTTCTTCGCTCCCAAATCCACACACCTTACTGCTCACAGTAATAAGCTCCCAGCACTGTGCCGCCTACTACTCGCCATTCATCCCTGCTCCATATTCCGTAGGGCCCGTTCAAACTTAATTTATTATACTAGTAATTGTGTGTATCTATTACTCCGTCATGTTTAAATTCAGATTATTGTATTTTCAATTAATCTGTAGGGTCCCACCTGTGGCTGGACGACTATTATATATATTTATGTTATGCTATTCGTTATGGTAATTCATTTGTTTTTGGACCACATTGGCATAACATAAACATACATAATGGTCGGTCGCCGCAGGCCGGACGCTAGATATTAATTATGGTAATTAATTAATGTTTGTGTTTTGGTGTTTATGTTTGGGTGCGTGCATAGGGATCCAAAGATTATTCTATATGATCAAGCAATTGGTTATATATCTTAATCCGTAATTAACTTTAAAAAAATGCATCACGTTAGAATATAATTGATATAAGATAATCAACCCAAGTAACATTATTTGATGATTTAAATTTATCAAGCTATGGCGCCCCACAACTGACTAAATCACAATTTTCCTTTCTTGGAAATCTATATGTGAGGTAGTTTTTAAATCACGTGTGTTTGTATGTTTTTTATATGGAAAGGCATTTTGGACAATCAAACAATTCCATCAACATTCAACAGTTATGGATGAAAAATGTGTTTGTGGAAGAAAATGGAACTCTTGATTTTATACTAAAAGAGAATTTTCGCCAACAATTTATCAAAACGACATTAACACTATGTTGGGTTTAAGGAAGCTGAAAAGAAAAAGAAAAGAAAATGAGATCAAAAAAAGAAAAGTGAAAGAAAAAAAAATCAAAGTTATGACCTAAACAAAATGCCATCAGTACGGTTGTGAAACAAACAGGAGAGCATTAGCATGTCTAAGAAGGTGATCCTTTGCAGTCAGTTTTTTTGGGACAATTGTGTTTATAATGTCCTGTCCTTACACAACCGTGACAAAATGGTACATTTGCTAGAGCTTTCTTTAAACCTCCCTTAAAACAACCATTACTGGATCCTGCACTACATTCCCTTTGCCTACCCTTCATTTGCAATACACATGGATCAGCTATCACATGGTTAATTGCAACCCCGCTTATGTCCATTTCACTTACATCGTCCGCTGTACGACCATGATCAAGAGGACTAGCAGGTTCACCTACATTTGAGGCAGAGATGTAAAGTTTATTCATACCAGCAACAATAATGCGAAACTTTGACAGGCTCTTGAAGCATTCTAAAACACGACTTAGATAATCAAAAAATGAATTCATACTTTCAAAACACTGCGTAGTTCGCATCCTTTAAAGAAATACAAATCAAAATGAGAACAGTTGAAAACATTGGCAAAGTAGTCCCACGGGATGAAACTGAAAAAAATTAAAGAGATATACCTGAAATCCTGAAAGGAATGCATCTCGACAATATATGGGTACCCACATCATTCTAATTTCTCCCTCCTTCCTGCAATACTCATTCACTTTGGTTTTGGCACACAAACCAAGGTTGAGAGAATTGTGTGTGTGTGTGTGTCTATGAATGGTGTAATATTGAATGAATAAAATAACTCTTCTGAACTGCTTTTGAGTGAAGTAAGTGTATATGAGGCCATTGTATCGAGATATAATACTAGAGTATATAACACATGACATTTTTCTTCCATCTAATTTCTACTCTGTTTTGAATCAGGAGGGGATGGATTTAAGCAAAAAAATGTGTCTCTGATAAAACAAAACAGTTTTGAAGCAATACTGAAATGTTTTGAAACAGATGAATGGATTAGTATGTAGGACTCTTGAGGAGATGTGCACATAATCAAGGACACATTATAAAACCCCTTTTCCTAAAATTCGGCAATCTTTTGCTTACATTGCAATTGGAACCGTTATAAACTATTTTATCCCAACATTTTGACCTACTCGCTACTAATTCATTTTACTCTCTCGGCTCATCACAGAAGACCCCATGTTCTTCTGCGGAATCAAAATATAGTAAAAATTCCAATTTTCAAAGTTCAAACCAATTATGATCTTTTTTAATCCAATGATTAATTTTGCTGGATTTTAATTTATTTTTTATTCTTCCGGACTTCCAGACGTTCCAGTGACAAATAAATTTTGAGTTACAGTAATTTTGAACTCTTCTCAATCTTTGTTTTGTGTAACTTTTGCTTCCTTACCGTCTATAAAAACTCGAGCAATATAGTCGAATGATTGAAATTTGAAGCCAAAAGGTGTTTGAATGAGTAATGCACAGACAAAAAAGCAGCCTATTGGTGATGGCCAGTAGTCCACCGTTAATTGTATTACATTTACATTTCACAAATCATATAAATTGTTTGGAACATAATGGGAAATCTAATGCATCGAAATGGAAGGGAAACGGGTCAAGGGTTGCTACCCGTCTCCTTTTTTGAGTAGAAGTGAAGTGAGAGGTATTGATCTGATTTTATTAAGGTCTGGTGTGATGTGATCGGGTATGATCTGTTAAGTTGTATTTTTCGAGTTATATTTTAAGTTGTTTCTCCTCTGGACTGATCCGATTCCAATACGAATAAAAGAATAAGTAATAAGTAATATTAGTAAGTTGACGAGAACATGCTCTAAACATGTAGGTTGTTGAGGTTAATAGTGTATCTTTATTGTTATTCAGAAGTAAAGTGTGCTTGTCAAAATAGATAATGCAAAGTTGATTTTGGGACAACAAAAAAAGCTAAGTTAATATTGGGATGAAGGGGGTAATAAATAAATGAAAATTAGCTTCTTTCATTCAAAGTAGACTTTCTTTTTGGGACTTAAAGCAAGTTAAATTTATGACTTTTTTTGACGAGGATAGTAATACATATTTGATATGGAATAATTTTTTTCATGTCGCAGAAGATTTTGATTTTTGAAATTGTGACTCGTGGCTTGGCAGTTTGGCATTAAGTGAGGAAGTACTTTGCAGTTACTGGGTATTCATTTCTTGGCTAGTATTTGCAGTACGAGGCGAATTGAATTTTTTTCATCAATCAGAGCTGAAGAAGTCTTCAACTTGTCTTGTGGTCAATGGTCATTTCCTCCTCTTACTCTTTAATGGGTTTTTATCTACAGATTCAGTCTTCTTGAGCTGGTGGCATATTCTTCTTTCATTAAATGGATTATTCACCGTACACTTATTGTCCTTTGGGAAGGACCACTAGAACAAAATTAAAGAGTATTAAGATTATTTGACAGTTTCAGGTTTGAGTGTCTCTTCAGTTATACCTGAGGAACTCAACCATACATTTAAATTTTATTTGAGGTCTTAACAACTCCTAATTTGCCAGTTTTTGTTCAAATCACAGGCTTCTAGTAACCATTCTGATGATAAGTCCGAAAGCAGACTTTATGTTGGCAACCTGGATTTCAGAATTTCAGAGTAAGGACACATCTGTTGTGAATTCCTCTAAAAATCATAAATACAGAGTCATTGAGTGTAGCTTCATATAATTTTGGATTAACGAGGTTTTTTTTTTTGGATTCAAGGGCTGCTTTGATTAAGATGTTTTCACCATTTGGAAAGATTATTTCTGAAGACTTTCTGTGGCATACTCGCGGGCCCAAACGTGGGGAGCCACGTGGTTATGCATTTGTTCAGTTTAGTACCAAAGCGGTAAGTTTTTTACTCTGTGATGATCTCACATGTCGTATGAAGAGTTAATACCTGACTACGCAATATAGGCACACTTTAGTCCTCTCGCATTTTTTGTCGTAATAAAAATGGTAATTTGTACCTTACGGTTAAGTTTTGTTCCAAAATACATAGTTGGGGACTGGGGAGTAGATTGGGTGTTGCTTTGCATCTAAATTTTTTAAACAAATAAATTACCCTTCTTTTCTAGAAGTAATTATGTATCAGGACTAAATGAGATTCAAATTTTGTAGTCAACAAGAACAAATAGCCCACTGTATTAAACAACAAGAAATAAGAACAAGTGACCCACCATTTTAAACAAGAACAAATAACCCACACCATCCCACAAGTGAGGGTCTGGAGAGGGTAAGATGTAAGCACACTTTACCTCCACCCAATGTGGTTTTCCAATTTCAATAGTTGATGGCCAAACTTATGGGATTTTTTACATTTATGGTCACCTAATTTCTTTTGCGCATTATGCTCTCTTATACTCCGTAATAACTAGATTACCAGACGAGAAATGTTCAGCCCGAAAAATTCAGACAATGAAGTACTATTGAATAAGGTCATATTGGGAAAATATTAATGACTTTAATTTTTTTTCTCATTAGTTTGTGTGATAGACAAGAATTCCACCAAATAATCTGACTCGAAGGGCGGATCGTAAAAACAATATTAAATCAAGAACTCGAGAATTATGAAATTATACGCTAGGTTTTGCTTGAGGATCCTTGTTTTGATCCTCTCTATTTATACATATCCCTCTACATAATTAAGGCGATTATTAATTATGGAAGCTGATTCCCGCGATTTACGCGATCCTATTTCTCCGGCTATTCTCCCGCGACCTAGCCGCGGTCGCTTTCGTAGCAGGTGGACTCCCAATAGCTCCTTGATTCGGGTCAGCTCGGGCCCAACACCTTGGGCCGGCCCAATAATGACATTGGGATATCCACAGGTCCCAAAATGCATCTGGGCACACGGGTTGGGCTACTCGGCAGGTAACGACCCATCATTGTGTAAAAGAACAAAAAATTATGCCGCCGGGATTGTGTCAGACAATATTCGAAAGACAGAAACATTCAGATGAGGTCAGCTAGATGCATTACCGGCACCGCACACTAATAATAGACTAGAAACATTCAAACCAAAGTAGATACTCCCTCTGTCCCAACTTCTCCTTTGTATTTTACTTTTCTGGGTGAAATTTAACAAAATTTGACCGCAATTTATGAAATAATATATCTAGTTATAATGTAAATTTAATATAATTAGGCTCGTTTTAAGATGAAGATTTGATTCATCAAATTTTTACACTCGGTATCATTCACGGAGTATTTATGCACAAATATACGGAGTAGTTATTTATAAAGCTCTTTTTGGGAAAGGCAGTATTATTATTATTTTTTTAAAATCAGATCCGTTTTATTTAGAGACAAACGGCAGGTCCTAGATCAAAATCAGATGCTAACTCTTGCAGTCGAAACATGGTTAGCATATATTCCCTGATTTCTATATTTAAAAGTGAGGATGCAGGAAGCAGTACTAGCCAAGGAAAAGATGCATGCAAAGCTGGTTGGCGGGCGCCCGCTGATGGTCCGTCTAGCTAGTGAAAGATTCACGACGGAAGAGGTGGGAGAAAATCCTTCGAAAGCAGTTGGCGAGACACCCAAATCCCATTTCTCTGGAGGCTCATCAACACGGATGAGCCGCGGTGCTAAAATAGCTGCAATAAAGAACAAACTGAAGTCTATGGAAGAAGGAGAGGGCCACAATCCAAAACGACGAAAACCCGCTGAGAGTCGCAATAGTTAACTGGAAAGCAGCATGTGGTTACCTCCAGCAGCATGCATAGTACTCCGTATATCTCTTCTTTTTTCAACTTATTCTTATTACTAATTGCTTATTTTTATCAGAATTAGACCAAATCAGATCACAGTAGATCAAGTCTCAGGGTCCGTTTGATATACGGAATTGATGGAATTGGAATTGAATTGGAATTGAAATTCCATGGGATTCAATTCCATAGAATTGAATTATGCTAATTCCAATTCATTTTTTGCACTATCAATTCCAAATCTACATAATTTTTGTGCTACCAAACACCAGAATTGAATTGAAGTCCTCAATTCCGATTCCATAGTTTGAATTCCGTGTACCAAACGGGGCCTCAATAAATTCAAATTAGAACCAATCAGATTAGACGAAAAGAACATGCCCTAGTCTATTTGTTCTTGGTCTGTACTGTCCGAGCTTGTGCTACAATTATTATATCACATTTGATTTGTGTATTGTTGGCTGAACATAGTTAAATTCACGTTTCTCAAATGATCAAATTAGGACATAAGTTTATGAAAATGCTAAATAGTGTACTTCGTATGAGACAAGTTATATTGATGGCAAGTATATATAGAGTTTTTTGGTTTGCCTTTTTGAAGTGAACATGTTAAACTTTGACCGTCAAGAGCTTGTTCTTTTTAACTTGATCTTATTACTTATAGAGTACTTCCTTTGTCGCAGTTTAAGTTACTTATTTATTCTTCACGAGGTCAAATTTTAAATGCTTTCTCTATCCATTTTCGCTACCCATTTGAGAAAATAATAGTCATGTCACATTTTATTTTGTAGAATTTTTGATGAAGTTTTAAATATATAAAAATTTATTTTTTTATTTCATACCAATTTTTAAATATATTAAATTGAAAATAACTCCAATCAAATCTCGTAAACAACACAAGATTTAAATTAGGACATAAGGAGTATTACTTATTCTTATTGTGATCAAATCAGATCGGATTAGAAATAGTTTTAATTATAACTACAATTAAATCAAATCAGACTTCAACAAAATAAGATTAGACGAAGAGATTAGACTATATTACTCCATATGTTTTTTGAAAAAATAATGCGGTGTAATTTGAAAGTGATATACTTCAGCGTAAAAATGTTTTTTGTTAAATACGGAGTACTTCCACAAGAGTAGAATTTAATACTTTTTTGAAAAATGTGCAAGTTCGAAATATAATTGAATTTTGAATGGACGTCTTGATCACTGGGCCAATCGCGCTGGGCCATTAGCCCATTACTGTGCTAGTGCACTAAGTCTTGGAACCCTAACCCGGTGGTGTCCTGAATGGACATCTTGATCACTCGAGGACCCTTTCAGCACTGCTATGATGTTTGACTGATCGCCTTCTAATTAGCTGGGTGATTTACATGCCCACCCGGTCATGTGTGAATCCCACAAAGCTATTTTGTTCCATGTTGGTTGGACCTTGACCGGTCGAACTTGGTTTAGCTGTATCCAGTTCTTGGCTTGGGTGGAATACACCCATCAAGTGGCATGCAAGATAAAAAAAATAAAGTACTTCACAATATTTAATTTATGGTCAACGTACTTCACAATTTACGAAATGCAAAGTAGTTATCATCATCATCTTTAACATTTAATCTTCTTCACCGTCATCATTTCCGTACTTCTTCGTGGTCAAAGTATTCCACTTTGAAATTTTTTATTTCAGCCTATCTAATTTATGGTCAAAGTATTGTATAGTTTAACTAAACAAGTCAAAAGTGGTACTTCGTTCGTCCCAAAAATAATGTCACAGTGTAATATTCAAAAATCACGGAAACTTTTGTTTGCTTATACGTTTTCATTAATTATTTGATAAAATAAAATAATCTTGTCACATCTTTTTTTGAAAAAACTTTTGATGTTAATTTAAATATGTAAATTTTATTTTTTATTTCTATCTCAATTTTAAATAAAATGAATTGCAAAATTTAAAACTTTACTTCCTTTTATATAATCTAGCAAATATTTTAGAACAGATTAAGGGATTAATTGTTGAGTAATGCTAGAGTCACAAACAAACAGTTCACAAAATTCACAAACTTGCCTTTTTAGCACTTTCCTAGAAATAAGATGCATTCAAATATTAAAAAATATTTTAATTTAAATTTCACAAAAGGCAAGTTTGTGAAGTTTGTGAATTTTAAATTTGTGACTCTAGCATTTTCCTTACTTGTTTTGGGATGGAGGGAGTGAAAAAAAGCAAATGAATTTTATTTGGAATCCTTTTATTTTGGGATGGGGGAGAAAATGGGATAAGAAGTGGGGAGTAAAGAAAGATTTGAATTGGATGAATAGAATTTGAACAAGAACCTGAAAATGCGCAAACGCAAAGCAGTTATGGCGCTAACGTCTCATTCAGCCATTCGGACAAACGCACTTCGCGCTCACGCCCTCTTTGCCCTCATCGCCCCCAACTTTTCTTCCATTCCCTTTCTTGACATTCGCATTCCCCCATTTCAATCTGATCTCCTCTTCGATCCCATATGATTTTGGAGTCGATATATGATACATATATAGGTTATTATGGAGCAGAAGCGCTTATTCATGTCGGCGTTGGGCGTCGGCGTCGGCGTGGGGCTGGGATTGGCGTCTGGACAGGCCATCAACAAATGGACCGGCGCCGCCGCCAACAGTGCTCCCGCCTATGGCGTTACCGCCGATCGAATCGAGCAGGAACTCCGGCGACTCGTCGTTGACGGAAAGGACACCGGCGTCTCATTTGACGACTTTCCTTACTATCTCAGGTAGTCATTTTGTGATCCGCATTGCGTGATAGTAAAATGTAACATTCATTCAGCAATTCTAATTCCGAATCGTGCTTGACGATCCGAAGCTGAATCACTGCAAATATTTTCCAGCCTTTCCTTCAATTATTTCAATTTCTTCTGTGGTATTACCATTTCTGTCATCCTTATTTCTCAATGGTTCCGTATAAGCATTTTGATAAACTGGCGTAGGAAATGTTAGATTTCGTTAGTCAAACGTTCATATGCATTGATTAAGCAATTTCTTCCGTCTCTTTTTTGTTTCGATTCAATTTCAGAAATTTCCCTTTTTTAACCCCCAAGTACTCTCTCTCTCGTTCTTCCTAAATCCTAAGATTATAAATTTACAGACATCAATATAATTAAACTTCTGGGTGCAAGCAATGATTAAAATTGTTCATTTATGATGACCGAAAACACAATATTTTTCTGTTTTAGAAATTGATCGGAAACAGGTTATGGCTTGACCAGAACACCAACTATATATTTAGTGAGCTTTTGATCTAATTAATTAACTGAGATCATGTAGGACTTGGAACAAAAAAATTGGAAATTTCCAATATATTGTCATTCTTGAGATTTTCTATTAATTCCAAACAAGAGTTTTGCTTCCATTTGGGGTCATTTTAGGGAACACTTTTGGTTTCATGCTCAAGTTGTACAATAATCTTGATGGCTTTGACAGTGAACGGACACGAGTGTTATTGACAAGTGCAGCATATGTTCACCTAAACCACTTGGATATGTCTCGACATACGAGAAACCTCTCTCCAGCTAGTAGGGCAATATTGCTGTCTGGACCTGCAGGTATGAAGTGCATGTCTAACCTCCCATACTCACTTTTCACAAGCAAATTTTCTCATCATGGATGCCCATTTCCAATCTATTGATCTTAAATGTTGCAGAACTTCACTTGCAATCACTTGCAAAGGCTCTTGCTCATCATTTTGAAGCGAAATTCTTACTATTGGATATAAGTAACTTTTCTGTAAAGGTGATTTTCTCGGAAATACAATGATTTTACCATAAATATTTTTTTTATTGGCAGACTAATTTTTTCCCCTCTATGTTTCATGGACCATCCGTCTATAGATGCAGAGCAAATATGGCAATTCTCCGAAACAGCCTGTAAGTGCTGCATTTTCCGGTTAGAGATGGAGTCTCGTCGTGAATATGCTTTGATACTGTAGACAATTACACCTTATATTTCTTTGAGAAAGTAACATGATATTGTTTATTCCTACCTCAAGAAAATGAGGCCATTTCATTTATGGTGGAATTATATCTAACTTTCATTACAATTGTGTAGCCTTTGAAGAGGTCTTTATCAGAGGTGACACTTGAGCATATGTCCAGTTTACTTGGGTCTCTCTCATCTCTTCAAGTGCAAGATTGTAATAGAGGTATATAAAGCCTTTTACCGATTTATTATTTCCTAGTACCAGTGCCGGTTGTTGACATGATTGATTTTCAATTATCACCATTCAGGCAGACTGTCAAGGCAGCCAAGTATCGACTCTAATTTAAGGTAATCCTTTGCTCCCATATCGAGTCAGTAAAGTAATGTGGTTGATATCAGTTTTGACAATTTTCACCTGGACTTCGTACTAGCAGTGAAAGCATGGGCGTTCCTCTCAAGCATCGGAGAAATTCATCTGTCTCATCAGATATGAGTACAATCTCCTCACAGTCCTCCTTTTCAAGTTCAGGTTTGGAAATCAAGGAACATTTGTTAGTGGAAATGAGTTATCACCATCAGATTCGTATCATAATTATGAAGTTCAGATGATTTAGAAACTGCATAACAAATGCTTCCCATTAAATATATCTTCTAAATCTTTTGGTATCTTTCATGATTTGCGTAGTTGGTTTTACAATACATATCTTGTAATGAAACATGGCTCAGAAGCATTGTGCTGTAACGTATTTAACGCAGTATCCATAACAAATGTGATTGCCTCATGATATTTTTCTTGCAACTGGAAATAATCTATGATCTCCTTCACAAGAAGGTTGTGACCGGAAGGGCATCCAGGGTTAACTTTGCTACTTTTTTTCTTGGATTTATAATCTTAACAAAACAAATTGACACTAAATTTCCTTTCACCGGCTAGACTTGTTGGGATTAATGTGGGTAGGACTAACATTTATTACATTGTATAATACTCCGTAATACTCCGTAATACATTGTATCATTGTCTGCATCATCATCACTGA